GTGCAAGAAGAGTTATTATTATACCAAAAATCACGTTGTAATTGGTTGAAGTGGGGGGACAGAAATAATAACTTTTCCCATACAATTGTCATGGTGAGGATAAGAAGAAATAGAATTGAGGCCCTAAAAAATGATCCTGATGAGTGGGTGGACAACCAACATGAATTGAAATGCATGCTTGGCAATTACTTTTAAAATTGTCCCAATATCCGCCTGCTATAGTTGAAATACTGGGCATTGCTAGAGGATTAAAGACTTTTTGGGAAAGAGGGTTTCAAAAGGTTGAAGTTTTCTCTGATTGTGCTGAAGCAATCAACATTTTCAAAAGAAAATCTCAATTCCATATCATCCTTACATTTTCATTATCTAGTGCATATTCTACTAATCTCCTGTATCTAGAGAATCAAACAAGGTCAAATGATGGCTTCCCCTCTTATAATCTTTGATCAATCGCCACCTTTTCTCCAAGAGGTGGCAAATGATGAAAGATTAACCCTCTATTGTTTTTATATTTCTTGTTGGTTGTACTTTATGTGATTATTAGATTTCAGTTTTCTTTCAAAACAACTAATTAAGTATATACAATTAATGATCTGATGGTGAACCTTAAGAATTGCTGAAGTCAGGACTGCTCCAACTAAGGAACATTTTATCAAACAAGCATCTGCATTAATGCAAAGGAATAGTTCTTAGTATCAGTATAGTTCTCACTGTCACATGTATTTACGAAGATGTAAAACTATAATGTAGAGTTTAACGTGCCTTCTCGTTTTGAGTTCTGAAGAGCAGCATTATCCAATGAAACTCTATGATGGAAAGTGGCTCGATTAAATTGACATCTTTACACAGGCAAGGGCAAGATGGGTGACGATTGATCTAAGTGACTTGCAGAGGAAAATTTGACGAGTCGAAAATGCATTCTTCAACATTAACATCCTGACAAATAAACTTGGGATGGTTAGTTAATTCTTAAACTATAACAAAGTTATTTCTTAATATATATCTGTATGTGTATCTCGCAACATCAAGTAACAATGATGTGGAGAGAATAAGACCATGTTTGATTCTATTTTCTGTTTTTATGTTCATAAAACAATTATGCAGAGTAATTTTTTAGAACAAGATTTGGAAAAAAAAATGAAATAATATGTTTGAGTCATTATTTTAAAAAACATCTAAAGTGGTGAAATAAAGGGTGAAAGAATTTTTTTTTATAAAAAAGAATTATTATTTTGTTAACATAATTGTCATTAATTAAATCATCATGTTTGTTTTTTCCTTTTCACTTATTCTGCTGAGAAGAAAATAACAAAATATCAACAAAATATTCTAGTTTTAAAATTTTTCAGAAAATTTTTTAACTTTTTTATTTTTCAAAATAGATAGCAGAAGCATATTTACAAACATGCTTTTTTTTATTTTTTTCAAAACAAAAATATTCTAAAAAACAAATAATCAAACAAGTTCTAAGTATTTTGAGAATTTTACTTACCATTCTAACACATCTTTAAAACAAGCGTAACTGAAATCCATGAATGGCAAACTCTGAAAGTCCATAATTGAGTGGGTTATAGTTTGAATATATTGTCATAAGAAAGGGAAAATATATTAATCGTGTGTTTTACTTACTATCACCATGATATGAATTGACATTATTAGGGGCAAAAATATCATGCATGAGACCTCTTATATATATGGTAAAAAAAATTTGATAGATTAGCATTGCCTTCTTGATTTTTCGATCCAGGCGACAAATTGTCTAACAATATAAGAATTCAACAATATAAAGTCCCTTATTTTCTTTTCTATAAAAAAAAATCTGATTTGTATATTAGTCTATGTGAAATCTAATATTTAGTAAACACTAAAGGTGTTCAAGAATACAATGCATATATATATATATTAATTACAGAAAAGTTATATATACACACACACAGCTTTTACTACTCCATGTGTTGCACAGGGAGTATTAACTAATTAGATATTAATAACATTTATTCCACATACTACATTTAAATGTATAATTTTCATAAAATTTTGAAATATAATGGACTAATCATACAATATTCATGAAATGGTAGTAAAACACATGTAATTAACGTATTGTTGCTGAGTTAAAGCACATGTACTTATATAACGGGTGGGAAAATTCAGTTCAATGCTAGTATATGGTTGACGAAAAAATTTCAATAAAAATTAAAGCGAAACATGGTTTTCATGAGAAGAGAAAAGAATAATCCTCCTTTCATAAATTGAGAAATCCCATTGTTGCATTAACATCCTACTATCACCATGATATTAATTGACATATTAGGGGTAAAAATATCATGACATCTCTCATATTTATGAACATAATTGATGAAGAATGGAGTATGTTAATTTGCGAGTACAAAAATATCACACTCCAGTATTAAGGGTATAACCAACACAGAATATGAGATAAACTCACATTCCATAAACCTTAATTAACCAAAAAATTAATTTAGAATAATGATATATATAAAATTTATATTTAAATTTAAAATTAGTAAAGTTTTAACCATTCTATAGAAAGTTCGGTAGAATTTTTCCTATAATTATGACCTCCCAAAATTTCTACAATAATAAAACCTATCAGCCAATCTAGAAAAGAGCTTTACTCCACGCTAGCAAATTTTCACAATAATATAATAAGGCTAGGACCTAATTACGATATACGTGGATCGTTAAGTTAACATTTCATTATGTAAAATATATTTACATAAAAATTAACTAACACATGTTTCCATGATTTCAAAAAACAATTGTGTCCCTCAGTGATCAGCAGAAGGTGCATGGTCAATTTTAATATCTGAGACCAAATAAAATTTTTTCGATGAGTAGCATTTCAATTACAGTTGAAGGAAATAATGAAAAGCAAATCAATGAATTAATTATAAATTTACTAAAATAATTAGTTGAAAATTATATAAACCATAAATACATAAATACAAATAAAAATTATTAAAATTTCAAAGTATGAAATTTTTACACATACTTAATATCTTGGGATATATATATATATATACTGCTTAACATAAAATCCATGTATAGTAAAAATAGCAATTTTCTTTCTAAAATCAAATTTAAAGAAAATAATTCCAAACTTTCCTTCTTTAATGGGACTTAATCAAAACAATTAACAAGCATGGACATATAGTTCATGAAGGTAAATAACTAACAAGCATGGACATACAATCTACAAGGATAAGTCACTAACAAGTGCAACTTAAAGCCATAAAATAATCAAGCACAGTTAGAAACTATAAAACAAGCACAGGTATTAAGCCCACGAAACAACTGTGAGTAAAATGCTCACAAATATCCATCCCTCTTTTTCATGTGTGTTGGCTTCCACACAGGGCTAGCACTTCTTGTAATAACCTTGCTAGCTAGGTATACCATGGTGTGCTAAAGGTTAACAAAATTGCCGTTAGCATCCAGCATTCTAAACTCAACCCTTCTTATTAAAAATCAAGCGTGCTAGAAATTGAAACACTCATTTAAAATTATTTCTTTCAACATATAATATTAAGCTATCAAATTTTCTTTTCAAATTTCTCTCCATACACAAATCACCGTATTAACCACTGTTATATAAATTATAAAATTTAAACAACAAAAATAATTAGAAAAAATAATCAATTAATAATATACCAGATCCAAATATTCCTTAATAATAGCAAAATTTCTAATGAAAATAAAGCAAATTCTATGATGAACCAATTATTATAAAAGTGAGGTAAGTAAGAAGAATTGTATAAATCATAAAAATACAATGGACAAGAATATTTATACAACTTAAAAAGGAATAATATAAAAAATTAAATAAAAAAATTTATAAATACTTTGTGAGAAATTATTTAGAATACTACTCACTCACCTGAGAGTTTTTCAATAATTTTAAAACTTGTTTCGCTTCCATTTCTCACTTAAGTCCAAGGGTGCCATTAATTTTTTTAATAAATCAATCACAATTCAAAGATTACTTATTCATTCTTTTCTTCATATAACTAAGTGATTTAATATCTTAATTGTCAACAATAAACAAAATTCCTTTTACTCTAATAAATCATCTACCTCATTCAATATCACTTGTCAACTAATGCATTAAACAATTAGTGACATTTAAATTAATTCTAAATAACATCACAACTATACATGTTCAGCCTTACTCCTACACTAGAATATAAATTTCCTCCTTCTCTTGTCAATGAACTTCAAATTTAATTATATTAATCCATTAACACCTTACTCCTTTCTTTAAGTTAAAAAAAACACATCTTGGTAACATTCACATATGTTCATTACAAATTGAAATTTCATCAGTACTGATTTCCCCTCATCATTTAATTCCTAAGTCAAACTCCCCTACACTACTCAAGTATCATCAATAACACAAAACATTCTAAAATAAATCCCAATCAAGACTTTGAATCACATTTGAGAAGAAAGTAAAATCAACAACCAAAAATCTTGAGATTTCCAATAGATACTATAGTTACACATGCTCCTCCAAGATAAACATGGAAACTTAATAACATTCATTCACTAAATTCTTCTCTCAAACATTTTGACAAACACCTAGAGAGCATTCATCAAAGTTTAGTCATCAACAAGCCTCCAACAATTTAATCATCTTCCTATATTAACTTTATCATCAATATTCAATTTGGCATCCCAATAAAATTATATACAGCAGCAACCAAATTAATTCAACTCCTCAATTTTTAAAGAATTCATGGCAGCCATAAAACAAAAACAAGGGCAGAATCTTCTATCAAAAGAGAAGAGAACAAAAAGCTTACCACATGGGTGCACGATAACCAAAATTGAGGAGGAAGATAAGTTGAAGATGACTCACATACACACGCCACACAAATCAGGAAAAGAATAGAGGAAAACGACAGGGGAGGAGTATTCGATGACTCCACTCTCACACCAACTGGCGACGTGAATGGAGAGAAGAGTAGCGGACGAACATGGCGGCAAAGAGGGAAGTCGACGGTGAGGTACAGAGAAGTAGATCGACAGTGAAGAGAAAGGAAAATTTCATACGCTCTCTCTATCACTTTCACAGGTTCGGTCGTTCAAATAAGAGAAGCAGAAGGAAAAATCTAATGACTGTAAGGTGGAGATGCGACGGCAAGAAGGAACATAGACCAACGGTGAGTAGCTGAAACCGATGAGGGGGACCAGAAGAGTAGATCGACGGTGAAGAACCAGAAGAGTACATTGGTGGTGGAGAGAATAAGAAAGGAAAAAATGGGATAGCCGATTGTCACGGATGATATCTCCATGACCGTGTAAAGACCAAGATAATGAACGATCCGCTGGTTAGCCTCGTACAATATGGGTAAAGGGGGCGACATTGGCATTGGGGGTGTTCTGCCTCAGTCTTCGGACTGAGTGCACAACTGGTTGGGGGCTAGTGCTGCCTCCTTGATGAGCCCATAGCAGGGCGAAACCAGTATGATCCGTATGTGGTAAGGCTTGTCTTGAGGATTATGGGGTCTTCCAAGATGCCGCACGGGCGCCGTGTGCTGCGCCAGACTCTCAGCTCGTGACAGAGTGGTATCAGAACAGGATGTACTTTACTGCCGTGTGCCTGTGGGGTCCCATGTTGGGACTGGTCGACCTCAGCACCGCTCCAGAAAGGCCTCCGAGTAGGTGGGTCCAAAAGTGGGGACTCGGGCAGGAAGATTGGCCGTTGTCGACTCCACTCCTGTTGGCTCGCAGGTGCGAGTGGGTCCGAAGAGTGCAGGACTCGGGTGGCCACTCAGTAGTAAGCTGATGTGTTTGTGGCAATACTGTACGTACGATCCTTGGGCGAAGTCTTTCTCCCCTAGCACGAGGTCGTGCTAGATTGGGTGTGGGAGAATGTCACGGATGATATCTCCGTGACCGTGTAAAGACCAAGATAATGAACGATCCGCTGGTTAGCCTCGCACAATATGGGTAAAGGGGGCGACATTGGCATTGGGGGTGTTCTGCCTCAGTCTTCAGATTGAGTGCACAACTGGTCGGGGGCTAGTGCCGCCTCCCTGATGAGCCCATGGCAGGGCGAAACCAGTGTGATCCGTATGTGGTAAGGCTTATCCTGAGGATTATGGGGTCCTCCAGGACGCCGCACAGGCGCCGTGTGCTGTGCCAGACTCTCAGCCCGTGACACGATGCTCTGTTTCTACTCATGAGAGAGATAAAAATGTGAACAAAAGAATAAATGGGAAAAATTATAATAAAGGCTCAAGGAAAATTACAAAAAATGACATACGAAAAATTATAAGAAAGAGAACAAAAGTTCCCTATAATTTAAAACAAAATAATACCAAATTTTTTTTTTTTTAATTTCCTATACTTAGCTGCCTCTCATTCAAATAATTCCTATAAGGACAATAAAACCTCATTATCATCTTCAGTATTGTTTTAAGAAAATTTTAAAAACCCCTTAACCCCATTAGTATACTTTAGACTCGTTTATTTGGCATCTATCCAACTACGATCCACATTTAACTTGTCTTCCTAAAACATGACAGAGTTCATGGATTATCACAAAATCTATTAGGAAAGGGCCAAACAACAAGTTATATAGTTAAAAAAATAAAAAATAAGCATGCTAACACGATAATTTCTAATTTTTTTTAGAATATTTTTTAGAGTTGGCTTCCCTCCAATCTAATAAGTAGAAGGAAGTCAACTTTATATTTTTTGGCCCTTTTCATATAGAGGAAGGGGCAAAACATTAAGTTTAAAATAAATCTCGACAGATTCTCTCCTAAAGATTGAACTTTCCAATACATTTATAATTGAAAATACAAGGAAAAAATAATATTTTTAAACAAAACAAATTCGCATGTAATGCCTAATAGCATCAGGCCTCTACTAGCACTCCATTAGTGTACAGAAAATAAACTAGTAATGCAATCACAATAATTTAATTCATAGAAAATAAACTAGTCTAATAGGATTGATGTAGGCATAATTCCCTTTTTTTTTTAGAATATTTTTTAGAGTTCTATATTAAAAATAGGGTCAAGAATGAAAAATTGGCAATTCCAACAATGAGTTCTATATTAAAAATTTAGCATGGAAATAGGGTCAAGCATCCCTCCTATTTGAAGCTAACTTTATATTCTTTGGCATTTCCATATAGAACAAAGGGCAAAACATTATGTTTAAAAAAAAAATTGATAGAATATCCCCTAAAAGTTAGACTTTTCAATAAATTTATAATTGAAAACACAAAGGAGAAAATAATATTTTTAAACAAAATAAAGTCACATGCAATACCTAATGGCCTTAGGCCTCTACCAGCACTCCACCACCTTGCAAAAAATACAGTAGTCATGCAATCACAATAGTTTAATTCACAAAAATCAATCAATCTAAAACAAAATCATATAAGACTACTTTTGCATTCAAAACATGACTATTGGTATTTCAAAACTCTAGGTGTGATTTTTACTATTTGCTCAGGTGGCCTACATGGCGGGTGCATCATGCCAATTATCAAACCCAAGATTTAGTGGTCAAAATTTTTAGGAAAAAAAAAATTGAGAAGATAGCTAAAGCATACTCCTCATTGATTCATATAACACACACACATAGACAAATTCCTTTGACTTTTAACAATGATGTTTCTAATTTGACAATCTTTCAGTTCTCTTGCTTGAAAATTCATATATCTAAAAATCTCAACAAACGAGGGTTTGCTTCTTTGATTTATCCTTCTATCTTTCATATATCTAAAAATTCATCCAATGGCTTGCTTCTTAAAAATTCATATGTCTAAAAATTCATCTATCTTTCACACACACACACACACACACACACACACACACACATTCTTCCAAGGGTTTGCTTCTTTAATTTATAACTAAAAATCCTAACAGACGAGAACTGTGTATACAGCAAATCTCTTAATTAACTTCAAATTCATGACAAAACTCAAGATTAATATGAAGTTCAAAATAGATTAAGGTACAAAACACGGTGAAGTCATAACCTAAATTAGTGAGAATTTGAAGCTTTCAACGCCTTGTTTCCTCCACAGTTGAACTTTTAGGGATGGAGGGAGGCTTTTTCGATGAGTTCTAGCAGCTACTTTGATAGGATTTCCTTATATTTTGACATTATGGGTTGAGGTGTTATAGGGGCAGAGGTTGAGATTGATTGAGATAGAGAATAGAGATGAAAATGATGAATTTGAGACTTCTAGGAGTTGAGATTAAGAGTTTGAAAACAAAGAACCAGAGTGCGAGTACGAGGACAAAGCAAAGAGACTATTGATGAATCTACGGTGACACGAGGGCAGAGATTGAGATTGATTGAGACAAAGAATAGAAAACAATGAGTCTGAGACTGAGATTCTGAGTGCGAGAAGGTGACTACGAGAGTGAGTATGAGAAAGCAAAGAGAAGACAATGATGAATCTATAGGCAGCACGAGGAAGGGGAAAGCTTAAAAATTAGAAAAGACAATAAATCTACACCAGTTATAAGGAATACCCGATGTAGGTATCATAAAAATAAAATTGAAAAAAAAATTGATATCTACACCGATTATATAGAATAACCGGTGTAGTTATGTTAAAATAAAAAACAAACTTATAAAACACATCTACACCAGTTATATAGTGTAACCGGTGTAGATATGTCAAAAATAATTTTTTGAAAAAAAATATAAAGCATATCCACCCTGGATATTTTTACTAACCAGTGCAGATATGTAAAAATATTTTTTAAAAAAATATTAATAATATATCTAAACCGGTTACTTATAAAACCAGTATAGATATTAATGCACCTTCAATTTTCTCACAAAAATGCCACCGCCGTTTATTTCTGCACCGTATGTGCCATGACCAGTGTAGATGGGGTTTAATTACACTATTTGGTACTAGTGTAAGAGTGCTTTGATCATAAAGATTATTTTAAATTTTTGAAGAAAAAATGTATCTTATAATTTTCAAGTATTAATAAAATCTTCAACTGTAATTGAGACAATTATTAAATGAGAGGATTAAAGTGACCAATTGAATTAAAATGCTCATGTAACCAAATCAATACTCGATTTAAAATGTTTATCCAAAACTAAAATATGTACATATAATTTAAAGGAAAAATTACAAATAGGTTCCACACAACAGACAAATTTAAACTATAATCAAGTCCCTTGAGATTTGAGTGTCATTTGTGGTTGGGGTGAAAAGACAATTTTACCCCTACTAATTTGACTTTCACTTACAACTACAACTTTGTAATTTACGAGTAAAAATTCATAATTCATAAGTCAAATTTCTTGTTTAATGCTTGATATGACATGGAGTTAATTCTACCTACTTAAGGCTATGTTTAGTCTAATTGGGATGTAGGGAAAGTATTAGAGCTCATTTGAGATTTACACATTGGGCTATGAGTTATTGGAGGTTAGCTTAACCAATAAAGCTATTGATAGATAATGTGGCTTTTACTTACAATTGCAACTTCAAAATATACAAGTAAAAAATTATAGTAATCCACAATTAAATTGCTTGTTTAACATTTGATATAACATGGAATCTCCATTAAGTTAATTATGCCTACTTAAGCCTATAATTGATCTAATAGGGATGTAAGGAAAGAATAGAGCTAATTTGGGATTTGCATATTTAACCTACAAGTTGTTTAAAGTTACACTTAATTAATAAAGCCCTTAAAAGTTGGGAAACATTACATATAGGTCCTATGGAGCCAACTTATTTACAAATAAGTCCTGTGACATTTGAAAATTACAACTAGGTCCCTTGGGACCTGAATGTAATTTAAAATTAGGGTAAAAAAACAATAACTCCCTTATTAATTATATATATATATATATATATATATTATATCAGTTAAATAATTTACAACTATTTTATCAGCAATTTATAACTATAACTTTTGATGTACAATAATTAAACTGATTAGTTTAACTATTGAATATGTGAAGTTATAGTTGAAAAACTAAAAGTTATTGTTGTAAATTACTGATAAAATAGTTATAAATAATTAATGTTAAACTTTGTTAGTAACAAATGATTGTTTAACTATTAAATATGTGAAATTATAGTTGTAAAAAGTTAAAATTATAATTAAAAATTGTGGATGAAGTAGTTGTAAATTAATTATTTGATTGATGTAATGTATGTTTTATTGGAATATTATTGCCTTTTTAGCCTTATTTTAAATTACACTCAAATTTCAAAGGACCTTGCTGTGGTTTTCAAATTTGGTAGAATTTATTTGTGAATAAATTTGCTTTACGAGACCTATATGTAATGTTCTCTAAAAGTTGATTTGGCTTGCACTTACAACCACAACTTCACTATTTACAAGTAAAAATTCATAATTCACAAATTCAATATTTTGTTTAATGCTTGATATAACATGAAATCTCCATGGAGTTAATTATACCTACTTAAAGCTATAATTGATCTAACTGCGATGTAAGATGTCATGCCTTAAAAATAGAGGGTGATCGGCACGAGTGTAAATTACGTCGCTCATTTCCATAAGCCTTAAAATGAAAATTCATTTTTGTTTTTAAATAAAATAATCAGGTTATATGAAATTTCTAACACTTCTAATACTAATTGGTATGACAAAGCTTCAATGTTTGTTGTTTTTTTTTTCAAATATTATAACAACTTGGAGCTCAACTCCTTTTAGCCAGCTGATAAAGTATTTAGCAAAATAAGGATCTTAACCATAGTCTATGTGGAGTACGTATAACATTAATTTATAAGAGTACAATATACAGATTAAAATTTTACATAAAAAATGGGGATGAAAATAGAGATGAACCAAAATAGCATCTCAACTTCAACTCAGTAATAAAGTTCCTTGAATGATCTGACAAAGGTACAAGTTATCTGAGACAAAAAAATATTTTTCAGTGAATAACGTTCCAATAGTAAATAATTTAACATGAACAAAAGAAAAGTTTGAAATAATTATGCAATTTAAAGAGGCAATGGTTTTTTTTAAAATTTAATAAACTTAAAAAATAAAAGGATTATGTAAAATTTTAAATAAAATCTTGAACTATTAAAATATCATATCAAATATTATTATCGCTTGATTGCAAGGAATCAAATAAATGAAATAAATAATTTAATGATTAAAATCAATGGAATGTAAAATCATCAGATAATCAAATTCATATTATAAGGATTTATCAAAACAATTAACAAACGTGGATACACAATCCACGAGGGTAAATAACCAAATATGGCTTATGCCACGAAAACAAACGTGGACATACAGTCCACGAGGGTAAGTAATCAGACGTAGCCAAAACCACGAAACAGACATGAATACATAGTCCACAAGAGTAACTAACCAGACGTAGTCGAAGTCATAAAAATAGACACAGGTACTAGACCCACGAATAATAGATGTGAGAACAAAGCTCACGAAATTTAAAGTAGCTAGTAATTGACTATGACGCGCCAAGGGCTAACAGAACTACCGTGAGCAACCAACGTTCTGTATATAGTCCCCTTTTAAATTCACTTTCAAACTTACGAGAAAATTATCACTTTCAAAATTTCATTTCTCTTTTTAAAATCCAACTTGCATGAAACATATAAAAACACCAATATTTCTAAATATAAAAATTCACAATTAATATCTCATAAACTGTTCATAAATTTTATAATTGGCTTTATCAAATAAAGCACTACTAGAATTTATGAAAGCATTTTCATCAATATAAAAAGTATAAGTCATGACTTCAAGAAGCAGAGCAATTTAATTAACAAAAGTAGCTAAAGTAAGAAAAATTTATAAATATCCATAAATTATTAAAAAAATATTTTGATAAAGAAAAATTTCTAATATATATTAATTGAGACGTTATCCACTTACCTGATAAGTTTTCAAGCATATTGCTAACTTTCAAATTAGCCCTTTAATTTTTGCAACAACTCGAGATCCTTAAATTCCTATTGTCCAAATAATACTGTAGTCATTTTCTTATATACACTTTGCAAGTCTAAAATATACAACCTAAATTTATTCAAGGATAATAGTAGATAGATTTTTTTTTTCAAACATTACATTAATTATTCCTTAGAAATTTCAAAAACTAACATATCAATGGCAATCTAGTTCTTGAATTATCAATCAAATTACCTATTCCACAAATCTCTAATTTCTGTCTCAATTTCCATTATAAAGTGTCTTATATGACATTTTAACCAACAACAATGCAACTATCACTAGAATCTTGTCATAATATGTCAGATTCTTCTAGCAAGTATTATTCCAAACACCTTGCAAACACTATCCATTAAATCATGATGTCAAGTTCTCTTCTCTTCTCTTCCAATCTCCTTATAACATATAATAAGATTTTATTGGACTTCCTACAACTTCACCGTCAAAAATTTCAAAGAAAAAGCACAAACAATCCTTATCTTTTATTTTTCTCAAACATCTCTATTTCTAATTCTGACTTCCTTTCAAGCATTTTATCGAACATCTCATATGCATCAAAATTCAAATCAATACTAAGCTTCTTCCTCTGAAATGTCCTTTCCAAAAATTTTTCAAGTATCAATATTTATATTAATCAACACTCTCAAATCCCATCCTTTAGCATAGAAAAATTCAGCTTTAACTTCAAAGGCAAAACCAAATTCATATTTATCTCCAATAACAGCAACCCAAATCAACTCAGTTTTTAACCAAATCCAAGTTTTTTAAACTTCAAATTTCATTTTACTCAAATCCCCCCAACCATAAAAAAACAAACAGCAACAGCAAAACACACAGAGCAACAACCAGCATCAAACACGCACAGCAATAGAAAAACACACACAGAGGAACAGCCAGCCATCAAACACACACAGTAACAGCAAAACGCACACAGAGGAACAACCAGCCATCAAACACGCACAGCAACAGCAAAACGCACACAGAGGAACAGCCAACCTTGAAACACGCATAGCAACAGCAAAGGAGAAGAGACTCCAAGATCCTTGCCTCAACTATTGTAGAAACAAGGAGGAGAAGGTTCTGGGCATGCTAACAGGGAGGAGAAAAGAAGACTCTGCAACACCGAACAGGGGAAGGGCTGGACGTCGAGTGCGAAAGAAAGAAAGAGAAGAAGAAGAAGAAAGAAGAGGAATGTCGGCGGCACAAAAGGAAAGAGAAACGCACGCCCAAGTGACAGATGTACCGTCGGTGCTTTACCATGGTGGCGACGAGCTGATGACAGAGAAGAGAAAGAAGAAGGATGGCAGCAATGCTTACAGCTGCTACACATATAGAGGAGGAAGAGCGGAGGATTTGCGAGCTCCCTAACACCCATAATGGTGGTAGACAATGCACCCAAATTCACCGACGACGGACGATCAAAGAGGAGGAAGAAATTTCTGGAAGCACTCTCAATCTCTCTCTCTCTCGATGCAGCCGACAGATAGGAAGAGGAATGAGGAAAAAAAATCTGGTGCGTTATATTTATTTTAAAAGGAGGGGCATTCTGGTAATTTCGTAAAACTGAAATCAAATTAAAAATCCCTCTTTTGCATCAGCCAGAATCGAACTTACGCTCTCATGCATGTAAATTATCAATGCAACTCCCACTAGATCAATAATGCTTCTTGTTAAAATGTTTTCAGACTTAATATAAATAGAATTAGAACACATTATTATATATTTTAATTTTGCTTCAACTTCCTGGGTTATTACATAAGATTTGTAATGTATTATGTAATTATGGCCTTAAGTATGCATAATTAACTCCATGAAGACTCCAGGTTATATCAAGCATTAAACAAAAAATTGGACTTGTGAAAGTCAAATTAATAGGGGTAGTATTATCTTTGCATCCTAACCTCAAATTACACTCATGTCCCAAGGGTTTTGGTTGTAGTTTCTAAATTTTATGAAAGTTATTTGTAAATAAATTTTCTATACAGGACCTATTTGTACTTTACTCTAATTTAAATTGATTATAGCATAATGTACTTAAGAAAGAAAATGGCTAATTCCTCACAACACAATGAATAAAGGTTTTAACCTTACTAGTAGAGATACCCACATATAATGCGTAGCTTACTTTGAACGTCTCCAATAAAAGGACACCTATATAATAATAATAATAAAATAAAGGGAAAGAAGTCATATAATAAATACAATTTTTTTGGTCATATATTAAAATTTGTGACCAAAAATATAAAATTAGTACTTTAAAAAAGTAAATGAAATTTAAAACAAACATTTTAGTTCTCCTGAATTAATTTGATTTAGTTCATCTACTGTTAATTTCAAAAAATCAAATTAACAAACCTGATGAACCTTCAATAACTCCTTTTTTTTTTTTGGTTTATCCCTTCGAAAACGATAATGGTTAATGCAAATCGTTCGTTTTCGACGGTGCAATGCTGCACCTTCTAGAAAACTCTAAATTATGGTGCAATTTTGCCTAAAACTCTAAAAAACTGTTCAAAGATCTCCAATCTGAAACAAATATAGATGTTAGCAAACATTGAGCATGAATATATCAAGAAAATTGAAATTTTACTTGACCCTGAGTGTAAATAAAAAAGTAGATGTGTTCATATTTGTCTTAACTAACACAAACTCTAAGAACAATAGTTTATTTTGCCAGACTTTACGGTCAGGGAAGAGGACAGCAAAGAGAGTTTGAATTAATTTGGGTAACGGAGAGAAGAGAGTTAGGAGTTTGTATAGCCTCTAGATGGGTTTTGAATGAAAATATGTTTGTATGGTTGTAATGTGTGACAAAATAAAATGTTGTGCATAAGGTTTTTAGCCGGTTAAGACAAATTTGAATGCATGTTTTTCTATGTATGTAATTCATGTTAATTAAAATGTCAATGTCTCTAATTAACATTCATGATCAACATTTGCTAACGAGCACATTTGTTATAAATTGGGGATTTATGCTCCATTTTTAGGATTGATGGGTAAAATTGTACCAAAATTATAACTTTATGGGTATTTTTGCCCCCAACACAACTAGTGGGATCCAAAACCCTTACTCAACAAACATTAGGTATATGCTATGCATTTGGGATTTTTGCATTGTTTTTTAGAATTAATGGGTAAAATGGCACAATACTTGAGTTAAGGATGATATGAGTAACTCCTCACAAAATATTTTATGGGTATTTTTGCACCTTGACACTATTTAAAATTACATGTTCAACCTTTTTTGGGATAATGATATTTTTTTTATGAATAGTTTTTATTTAAGTGCATACTAGTACTGTGCATTGTTAGTTTTTTGGGTTAAAAGATATTTTTGTCCCTCAATTACTCACTCAAGAGTATCTAGTATCATAAACTTACATGTGATGCAATTTATCCATTCAATATTTAAAATGGTACATTTAGTACCTTGCCATTAAAAAAAGTTAACTTTAACAATTAGTTAATAAAAAATTATAAAAAATGACCTATAAAATTACAAGTAAGTACTTTATGAGAAAATTAATATCAATTAAGTCCCTAAAATAATGGATGGTCAAAATCATATTTTGGCCCTTTAAGTGGGTAAAAAATAATATTTGTATCCTATTATTCATATGTAATTTAAGGGACCTAATTGATCTTAATTTTATTATAGGGTACTTGTATGTAATTTTATGGGTCCTTTTTTGTGCTTTTTGAGATTATTTTCTGCAATTTTTAAAATAACTAACAGTCATAGTTAACTTTTTTTAATGGCAGGGTGGTCAATATGCTATTTTTAAATGTTGAAGGAGGAGATTGCATCACATAAAAGTTTAAAATAATAGATACTCTTGGTTAGCCAATAGTTGAGGGGCAAAAATGCCATTTAACCTTAATTTTTTTATAAAGGATTTGCAAATTCTTCACTGATTTTGTTTTTGGCCATAAATTCGATGCGTCAACAATATACTCACTAAGTTCCTATTTATAAGCTACTTTTTAAAAACATTTCTTATTTTTCTATTTATAAATCATTTTGTAAAAATCTATGAAAAATTAATATTTTCTTTTCAAATAATATCCTTGGAATGGAATATGGATATTTCTGAGTAAATATGATGGATAGTGGCATGGAGAGATGATCAAGAATTTATATTTAAATAAGGGTATTTGTAATTTTTTTAGGAAAATAAACTAATTTTAACTAACTTCCTTGATTTATGTGAATAGTTAAAGATGGCTTATAAATATAATTAGAAGGAGTATTTTGCAATGCATACAATATTTAATAATTACAACAACATATTCAGTACGTAATTATTCGCGCCCATTTGAAATTTTTTTATTAGATGTAGATTTTTTTTGTTGACTATGCGGGTTGACTTTTGGATGCTTATAGCGTTATGGCCAGACTTTTGGAAGGCAACACATTCATTCGGCCGCTTTCCTATTGTGTTATCAAAGATCGATATGAGTTATCGGTCCAACCGAGTATTTGTAGATTCTCAATTTCATTGATTGCAAATAGCATGTCAACTACTCCATCCGTTTTAAGAGTTAAATGTTAAAAAATATAAGATATTTTTAGTCTTTTGAGATATAATCATTGCCTTTTTTTCAAAAATGTCTTTATTGATAATAACTTTATATTTATTGTAGGGTGTTTAATAGGGATAAATAAGAAAAGATAGGGTTTATTTAAATGTAGATAACTACTTTATTGGACGGTGAGATTCGGTTAAAAATGCATTATATTTTTGAACAAAGAGAGTATATATTAAAACTACAAAAAAAATATTAAGTTAAATAATCAAGTTAACGCTTGCCGAAAAAAGGTTAGAAAAATTGACTCCGTTGCATTTTTCCACAAAAAAGAGTTAGAAAAATTGAAGAACTAACCTAACATCAGTTATTGATAAAAACTAAAACAAACCGGTAGGGTTCGGCACTAAATTAGTTGTTTTAGCCTAATTTGTGATTATTCAGGCACTCGCTCTCTACTGATCCCATTAAAAATAGTTCTATGTCATGTTTTTCTGGTTTTTTTGCGGTTTTCTACACACTTTTCAACAACTCATGTGACAATATAGTATTAGATATTCATGTCGTAACTTTGAATTTGGATAAAATTTTATAGACAGGTCTTTTTTTCTAATTTTAATAGAATAATGTATGATGGCAGCAAGATTTATAGATAATTATAAATATAAAGTTTATATAAAATGAAGGGCTAAAATGTTAATTTATCACCTAGCTTTTTTTTTTCAGGTGAGCTGGGCACCATCAAGTAAAAGGTGGTGCAATATTACACCTCATATATTGAAAAATGGAGCACTACTGCCCTATTGTTAAATATCCATCAATTTTAACATTAGTTGACTAAAAAAGAACCTAAAAAATTACAAAAAATGATCCAAAAAATTACATAAAAGGACCTTATAGAAAAATTTATACCGATTAAGTCTTTTAAATTGTAAGCGTTAAACGGAAATTTTCCCTAGAAGTTTTCTATTAGGTGCAACTAGTATCTTTGACTTTTGATTGGTGCAATGTTATCCCAAAAGTTTAAAAAATGGTGCAATGGCCTACATTAACATTTATTTGACCAATATTGATTGTTATTTTAAGTGTTAAAGGGCAATTTTGCCCTAGAAGTTTGTCTGAAGAAGTCATTGGTATCTTAACATTTTTATTGGTGAAATGTTTTTGGGTTATCAACTTTCAAATCAAGAGAGATCCAACAAAACTTGTTATAACCCCAAATTAAAGGAAAATTTTATGTTGAATTGTTAAGTAAAATGGCACTCAAGAGGAGGGTGAATTGGTTGTTCTTTATGATTTTCAAAACCTCTTTCCAAAGAAATAGAAACAGAAACAGATTTTGTATCAAAACAAAGTTTGAATGATGAGCTTGTAAATCAAATGAAGTTTTGATAAGAGAAAGCTTGACACAATGATTTATACCAGTTCAGTCTAATCACTTGGCCTACGTTCAGTCCTTAAAATCACACTTGAGAGTTCCAACTAAAATCACAAGCTTAATTGAGTGCTTGCCATCATAGTATAATTAATAAAACTTGCAAGTCTTGAAGTCACTCAAAATCCCCTTACAAATTAAACCTTTGTAAGAATAAACACTTAAGGAAAAACCCTTTCATAAAAATTTCAAAAAGTAGAGTAAATAATCAAAATTCAAAACTCTCCAAAAGAGTAGATAAAAGCTTATAAATTGTCCAATAGAGTGCTTTTCAAAAATTAGTTAATGCAGTAGGTAAAACAATAAATGCAAGAATGTATTTTGTTACACACTTACTTAAATGAAATTCTATTTGTGGTGTGAGGATAATTATATTATAGCTATTAAAGACCTCAACTAGCCATTA